TAACTTAAAATTTTAGTAATCACATTATTTTTTTTTTCACTTCACATACATACATAATATAATAATTATAATTATTGTCGTATAATGTATATAATTTCTAAATAATACCTAATTAGGCTAACTATAACTATGCCTAAAAATTAAATTTGTTAATACCTACCTACACGAGTTCTAAAACCAAAAATTCTTAAATTTAATAATTAATTTTATACATTATAATATACGGCTGTCTAGCTATAGTATTAAACTTGAATAAGCTCAGATAAAAACTAACAAATCCCTTTATCGTTTTTCGTTTTGCTTCACATCAGTAGTGTAACCAGGTTATTTTTAATAAGGAATCCAAAAATATAATTACTTTAAAGTAGCAAGCAAATTTAATTATCATTTTATTTTTTGATTAATGTAAAATATAAAAAAGGCCCTTTTTTGCTCATTAATTATTGTTTAAAAAAAAAAGTATTTTTTTACAAAATTGAGGCGTGCGACATGGTTCGGCGTTCAAAGCCGGAGTTCGGTTGCACCACTACTTTTCATTAAATATGTATATTAAGCCTATCAGAGGTGACTAAAAGGTCGATTCTCATTCGTTTTTTCTTTTATTTTTTTTCCAGACAAACAATAATAATAAGTGAAAAAAGTAATAATTTGTAATCAAATAGGTATATTAAAATGAGTAATTTTATAATTTTTCTACTTTTAAATTTTGAACATATTCTTAATGCCATTATTAATAACTGGATACACATTGAACGAACACTTAAAGGCTGATATAAATTGAATATCGTTAATACTACATCCAGAATTTATAAAAATAAAACAAGTTAATCATATACTAAAGTAGATAATAATTAAGACTAAGGACTTAAGGAGTTTGTATGGTTTTAGGTAGGTAAGTAATATAGAAATTTACTTCATAATACTAGAAGTTTAGAGCAATCATTGTTTTTTTGCATATACAATTCTTTTTTCCTTATAAGTACGTATTTTTTATATTTGTATATTTTAATTTTTAAGTACTTACATATTTTGTTAAAAAAAATTTTAAATAATAATATGTGACAAAGAATAACATTTTATATGTAGGTACTTACTACTTTACAAAATTTAATAATATAATTTTCTATAAATTGAAAAATATAGATTAAAATTATTAAATATTAATTATTAAATAATCTATCAATAGTGTGTTTTCCCGAAAATTTGTGTGTTGTGAAAAACATAAATTTGGTCCATAAGGAATACGCCGAAAGGAATGCCGAAACCGAATAGTAACTACGGTCAGTGTTGATGTCAACTAGTCAGTGTGAGTGCTACCTAATGTGTTTTTGACGTTTTTGTCTGTCATTAATATAGTTAGTTTGATATTCTAGATTAGGTACAGTTTTTTTTGTTGTGAAAATGAAAATAATAATTTCTTGTTTAATTATAAATAAATTTGTAATTTTTAGTTTTTTAATAAAAAATAAAATATTTTTAAAGCATATATGATAATTTTGAAGAGTATAAATGCATACATATTTTAAAGTTTTTTAGAACACGAAGTCCTTAATTTTTTTATTTTTTTTTTTTGAATAACAGACAGTTTCGGGGGATTTGTGTGAACAATTAACAATACTACTCTTTAAGTCCCTAAACCTAGTAATAATCATTTTAATTGTTTAATTTTAAAATTTGTTTTAGATTTTTAATTAAGCAATAAAAGGATTGATTTTACAATGAGTCACTGATTAAGTTGATATAATTTTTTTCGAATATATTGTATTTATATCATATTAGCGTATTTATAATCATTATAACATTACATATTTATACCATATTATATTAACTTACATAACTCAAAATTAAATTACATCTTTTTGTAAAAATAGATTCATAGTTTAAATAAATAATTACTTAAAATAAATCAAAAATGCCATTGCGTATAATAAAATTCATAATAATAAAGAGTGTTTCATAAAAAGTGCAATTTTTAAAATGCGTAGGATTGTTTTGTTGGAAATTTATCAACCATATTTTAATTATTTTTGTCATTCATTACCACTCCAATTAGAAGGTAATTCGTTTTTATTGAATTTAATTACCATGGTCCATGGAGCTATTCAATATAACCATTATCGTATAGTATACTAATACTGAAGTCCCATGTCCCATTACAAAAACGGCGAGTGCTCAGCTGTGACTGTCCATAAACTTCGCACGACTTTTGGATGTGTGGAACCTCCTATTGCATCAACAATTCCGAGGTTAGTATGAAAATTTTAACAAACTGGTTCAGTTGAAATACAAAAAATCCATGTCGAAACCGTATAATTTGTAGTTCGTACACAGCCAAACATTATGGTAGTGCAAGAGAGTATGAATATGAGTCCTGGAAATGACGACTTGCAAATAGTGGAGCCAGTGGAGGTGGACATTATGGTGGAAACAATTTTTAAGTATTTTAAGTATATTAATAAATAAAGTTTTAATTTATTTATGATTTTAGCTTATTTATTCCATGTTCAAAAATTGCATACTTTATGAAACACCCTATAATGTAATAAACGTAAAAATTTTAAATCCTATTAATAATTTTTTTAAATTATAATAAAACAGTTAACATCATTATTTATAGTTACGCCCAAATTTAGATTTAAAATATCTTTAAAAACTAATTGAATTTATATACTTTTTTAGATTTTATGGTTTCAACTTTCAGTATGAACTGAATACTCACGATAAATTGTGTAATAAGGCGGATTATTCCGAGTGCTCCTACGACGCGTGATTCGCCGAACTTAGCGTAGCACAGTTGTACTGAGCCTAGGTATTATATGCTCCTTAGGCGTGCACACAACAGACCGACAATTTTCAAATAGCCACGAGCCTGGTCGAGCTATACCGTACCTAGATGAGCAAGAGCGTTCTCACAACGCGTGTAGTGTACCTACTAAGTGTACCAAGTGTTCTTAGCTCGTGGTTAAGTTACGCGCTGTGGGAACCCGCAATTAAATTTTCAAATCTTCGGTGTAAAAACAAAAATGTTTATGATTTTTTTTCAAAATTTTAACTTTAAACATTTGTTAAATAATATTTTGACTATAAATTATTGATATTTTTTAAATGAGAAATTAACAACTTATTAGGAGCTTTGTTTTAAACTGTTAAACTTTCTTATCAAACAAATAATAACTAATCAACATTTATATAAAAAAAAAGAAGCTAAAAATTTCTCTTGCTTATAAATAGCTCAAAGAGAGGTATTTTAACATTTTTATGGTAAATAAAAAATGGAATATAAACATTTGGTAAAAATTTAAATTATCTACGGTTATTCGTTTTTGAATTATACACTGCAAATTAAACAAAATCGATTTTGTCTAAAGTTTAATTTGCATTAAATATTCCAGTTTTAACCTATTTGTTTTCTTTTTCTTTTTTAAAGAAATACGAAAGTACAGTGAATATTTTCTATGATCTAAATAAAATTCAAATTAAATTCACTTAACTTCCAAAAACCACTTCTATTTTTAAAAACCAAAGCATTTTTATCGTACTAAAAGATGACTTATAGAAAAAAAACACATCATTGTAAAATCAATAAGTACATTCATCGCTCCGCTTAAAAGCTAAAATTTTACCGGAAATTCACGTAAATTTGCAATTTTACGACATTGGATATTCACCAGTGTAATAATTAATTGTCTTCAAACGATTTTTGAATTTTGATTATTTAAACACAAAAAACCGTAAATACTTAAAATTTTCAAAAAATATTTAAATTATTATTTTCTTACTTATAATTTTCGAAATATTTGATTTTTATTACTATTATAAGCATGAGGAGGTTTCTTTTTAGTAATTCTCTAATTCATAATGAAAAAATTAAAACCAAGAAATCTAAGAATTAGTTTATAATCATAATTGCTTTGTATGAACATTCTAAGTTAAAATTTAAATTAAACTATATAATTAGACAATGAATATTGATATTAATTATTTGATTATAATTCAAAAATATTATTCGTAGAAAATTAAAACTTTTACATACCTACTTTATGAATTTTACTATGCATAATGCTATTTTCAAAATAATATCTTGATATTATCTATAAATACTATAAAGAACGGTATAAACATATTGTTTACGGACTTACGGTATAGTGATTTAGTCTTGCCAGTCGTGATATATCAGTGTACTACTATACCATACTTATATCGTGAAATAGACCATTAGGTATCTTTCAAAATCAGTTTTCGTAAGCATTGATGTATCATTGAATTCAAATTTAATACATTCAGTGGCGTTTCCACGGGGGGTTTGGGTGTTGTTACTCGCTTCCCCTATTGATATTTATTTAAATTATTCATTAAACATATTTACTATACTATCCCTGATATACCTTAACCTTAAACCCCTCCCATTCAAAAATTCTGACTACGCCACTGAACATATTTAATATGTACAGGTTGTGCAGGTTATATTCAATCTATGCATCAGAATAAATAATTTTAAAATCTAATGTTTTATGAATAATGATTAATATATAGGTAATTATTTACTGTATTAGAGAACAACATACAAAGCGTACTTGAAAACTTGAAACTTTTGATTTGTAGTAGTAAATATAAATAATTAATTAATAATTTATTATATAGATATCTAATATAATTATTAATTATTTTTTGATTATCCAGTGCACTATGTTATCTATCAAAGTGTATAGGGACTCCATATTTATTTAATGAAAGATTAGTCCATGGTGCATATACTGCATATATATATTTCATTTTTTATAAGTGTCATCTGTAATCTTTGTACTTTTGTAGCACAGCTAATCTACCTAATGAAAAAATTAAGAAATATAATATTTTATTAAATTTGTGATATTAACTATTGATAATATTTTAATTTTTAATATAATAATACATTACTATATTAGTACCACTACCATCTACTTGTAATATATAGTTTTATTTTTTTATCATAATTTATTATGTATTTTATCAGTAATTAGTGTATACTACGTTTAAAAAGAAAGATAACTATAATTTATTAAATATTTTGGTAGGTATCAAATCTAAGTTATAACTAAGTTATTGACTATCTCAAATTGAGTTAACCAAGTCTTACAAATTAATAAGTAAGTATTATAGGTTATTTAATTATTATTATTATTTAACTATAAGCAGACTAGATATTTTATCTAATAAAAAAAAAAACTAAATATTGGTAACATATTATAAATACATGATTATATAATATATTAATAATTTATATTTTGAAAATAATAAAATTAAGTTACAAATTACAGTACTCAAAAAAAGAAATGTTGAAATCAATTTTAAGGGGGCTGTATAGACATGAGTCTTCATTAGCTTCTAAAAATATTATTACAACTAGCAAATCTGTTAATTCATATCGAATAACTCTTTCAGATCCTAAAACAAGGTAAGTAAATGTGTTAATTAAAATTTTAATATTATTATTTTATAAGTATATCATTATGCGGTGTCGCCACTGGGTAACTTTACCCCCTCTTATTTACAGCAAAATAAACATTTCTTTTAAAACCTTATTTAGTATTTGTGTTTTCGTGTTAATTTATATGAAAATAATAAAAATGTATTATATTAAACAAACAATCAATCAATGATTGCTAGTTGAATATTTTCCATCTGGGATTGTTTGATGATGTAATTTTGCTACTATTATTCATATAAAATGTATAAACCATTATTTCCTCAAAACTGTTATACTAGGCATATTACATTGGTGTTTTTTCAGGTTTACACATTCTAATAGTTAACAAATATTATTGACACCGATTAGAGACTTTTTATATATATTATAATTAATTAGAAAGTAAGAAGAATACATCTTTCAAAATGGATCTATAGGATTATATTAATTTTTCTCACATTTTTTTTTTTCTCTAATATTAGGATTCTAACTAAGTATCATAGAAATTAAATATTTTATATTTTGAGCATAATTATGTACTACCAATTATTTATTATTATTTATTACAGAAATACATTATCTATTGCTGTACTTCAACAATTAATTGAAAAAATAAAAACTGCAGGGGATGATTTATCAATGAAAAGTATAATACTATGTGCAAGTGGACCAGTTTTTTCTGCAGGGCACAACCTCAATGAACTCGTAAGTTATAACACACTTTTGTTTTTACAATATTCAATTTTTAATCTCTTTTTTTTTTATTGTATGGGCTCTTAATGATTTTTTTTTTTTTTTTTTTGAGGTATTTTGTTTGGTTCAACTAATTTTTTTGGTCTTAATAACCCATCTATTTCCTGTAACCATCTCTGTACTTGATTAAACAAACATTGTCATGATTTGTCTTAGTGTCACTTTTTATTTGAGAAGACATTTTTAGATGTTTGATGCATTGAACTCTTTTTAATATTTACAATTAGTTTTCCATTCATATTGTCTAGTGTTTATATTAAACATAGTTTTATACATTTTCTAAGAATATTTCTTTTAAATTTTCAAAAATTAGCTTCATCACCTTTTGTTGTTGACCATATTTTTTAACAATATATGGTTATATTATGTCATTATGATTTAAATAAGTGATATATAATTTCTTAAATTATCATTTTATTTTACTTGAAAAAAGTTTATAATTGCTTATTTTGCTCATTGTATAATAACTAATAAGTTTGATAACCTCAATTTGTAGTAACCAGTCTCAGCCAGATTTCATTTTATATGTCATGTTGTCATTCCTACGGTTTAAGTTATTCTCAAGTATTTACAATTTTAAATTTTCGTGTATGTTTGTTTTTCTATGATATCTCATGTCCCACCTAGTTAGCAAAATTATCTTTAAAATTAGTTTTTTATATACAATTATTATATTAAAATTATAATAAATTTCAATAATAATAAAAGTATGAACAATTTCAATTTAATTTTTTGTTCTTTTTTAAATAATTTTGTTACATAAAATGGATTTTTTATTAGTTTATGTTAAATAACTGGTATAAATACCTTTATTTTGACTATTTATGTTGATGTTTATGTTCAATAATCGTTTTGTTCTTGCCAAGCTTGTGAGAAATATTTCATGTATTTTTTATATTTAATTTATTAAAAAAAAAATAATATTAATTACTTAGGTTAAAAAACTTATATAAGATAGAATTAATATTATTTGTTTAAATTTGATGTCAATTACTTGTTTATAGAATAAAATGAAAAATGAAAATGTTAATTTCAGGAATTTTCTTTAGTCAGATATTTTATCAATAATCAATAATTATTTGATTAATATTACAGAGTGTACCGGAAAAACAAAAAATTATATTTTCATTAGCTACAAAACTTATGAATACAATGATAGAATGTCCTATACCTATCATAGCATGTGTTGATGGTGTAGCTGCTGCATCAGGTTGTCAATTAGTAGCAGCTTCAGATATGGCAATTTGTTCAAGCCGTAGTTCTTTTTCTACTCCTGGGTACACAATATATTGAATTTTTTATTTTTATCTACCATTGACTAATATAATATGTGATACATGTAATAATATAAAAAAAACTTACCATAATTCAAAATATTTACTTTTAGTGTAAACCTTGGTTTATTTTGTTCTACTCCAGGAATTCCATTGAGTAGAGTTATGTCAAAAAAAACTGCTGCTTATATGTTATTCACTGGTATATCAATCAATGCTGAAGAAGCTCTTAGAACTGGTCTTGTCAGTAAGGTTGTTCAACCACAAGAATTAGGTTAATAATTTAATATATACTTATATAGTTATATGTGATTGTCGATTGGTATTATACTATTACTTTCAGATGACGAAATTACTAAGTTGACAACATTAATTGGTCAAAAAAGCCGCTCAGTTATTACTTTAGGAAAGACATTTTTTTATAGACAAATTGATGAAAATATTAGATTGGCTTACAAGTAACTTTTTTTTTAGATAGTTCTAAGCATTTTAAAAATAATTACTGAACTATACATTTATCTAAAAATTATTTTTAAAATTTAATTACAGAAATGGGGAAAAAATTATGTTGGATAATTTAGAACTCAGTGATTGCAAAGAAGGTTTACTATCATTTGTTGAAAAAAGAAAACCTAATTGGTCAAATTAAAAATGAAGTAAAACTTTTAACAAATTATTTTTGAGAACCATATTCAAATTGGAACCAAATTTGTGTAAATTCTATTTTTTATTTTTTACTCAAGTATAGAAATTTCTATTTATTATAAATTTACTGTTGTTATTATTAATATTGGTGGTTTTTTGGAATTTTTATTAATTGTACAAAATATATAAATATATGCTATGGATAAAGTATAAAAAACTATGTACAAAAGATCTTATGATTAACTTTTTTCATGTATATTTTTAATCTGTACAATCTGTGTAAATATTATTACAATAAGCACAACAGATGTAGAGATAAGTAAATTGGCTTGATTGAAGAAACTATTCATTAATAAATAATATGACTTCATGATAAGTTCATTTAACATTGAATTATTTGCTAATTTCACCCATTTTAGAGAACTATAAATAAAAATATAAACAATAAAATTGGTGTAAATTTTTTAAAATGTATAAAAAGACAACCTTGTTAACTGCTTAAAATACTTTAATAATGTTTTTACAGCACACACCTTTTTAGTTACTATTTTGAAACTCTTTAAACTAATACAACTAACTAACAAAGTTAGCAAGTAATAAGTAAGACGGTTGAAAGATCAATGGCATGTACTATGATAAGGCTTAGTCCAGGATCTATGGTAATATACTTAACTTTAATGTTGTATGTAAATAATTATAACTAATTATTTTTTAAATATGTTTTTTAATTTTAAATGACATTAGGTTTTTAAGAAATAAAAAAAAAAGTTAATTTAATAGCAATCTGGAGGAATTGGTAGAGTACATGCCTTGTATCTATGTGGACTGAATAAATAGCACAATTTAAGATGTAAGCTAGGTATTTTGTGATGAATAGAATGACCAATGGACTTGAAACGAGAGCCATATTGTTGTTTAACTAGTCACTTGTTAGTTTATAGTGTTCAGTCCATGGTAGTGAGTATTCACAATGTTATATACTATAGTATTAATTGCTAATATTATCATAGTTTATATGAAAGATATTATGAACTATTTTTAATATTATAGTCAACATAATGGCCTATTATATAAAGTATTATAATTTATAGGTATTTTAAAAATTTAAAATAGTATAATCAATGGTAGAACACTAGGATGAATTTGTCGAGCTTTGTTGTCATTTTCTTGATTCCTTATCAGTGTTTTAAATTATAAATTGAGCCCTTAATTTAAGATGTCTTATATATTTTTTTAACTGTAATTGGGCCATCGAGGGTTAAGCGGGATAACAGTGTATTTATTATTACAGCTGATATTTGAAAATCGTATTAAATAATCGCAGCTTACATGGCTGCTGTATTATATAGCTTATAATATATTACTGATTAGTGATTATATATCAGTAATCACACAGATATTTAAATGAATGATAAAAATTAAAATTAAATAACAGTAAGAACAGTGAATACTGAATATTGAGAACTATTGAGTATTAAGTAATGAATAATGATATTCTGTTTTTAAATTTATTTATAATAGTTATAAATTATAATATTTTTATTGTATCAAAATATCACACGAGTATACAACACAACTGTTATTGATTAACGTTTAACGACTATTGAATACTGCAAATGCATACTTAATTATTTCTGCTTCAAAATATTAAAAAACATATTTAAAATTAGGCTTTCAGACAGAATGTTACTATTACCAAAATGTATCAATACAATTGTTTTAAACAATATAAAGCGAAATTTTATGATGAAGACTTGTGGTTTAATGCATTCTAAAGTTAATCAAATTATTATTAAAGATTCCAAAAATGATGAATTTATTCCAATTTATAAGTATGAATGTTTATTTTCTATTAGTTACTTATTTAATTATATAATTTATGTTAGTCTCAATATTAACTATACTATGTTTATACATATTGTATTTAAATGTATAATTACGATTATAACTTGTAACTGTAAATTAATTAGTTACTATAGAGTAGTTATTCTTTTTACATCATATTGGTTATATATTATAATTTTTTATTATTTATGTATTATTTTAGAACACCACACATGAAATTCTTCATCGGTTTAAATAGAATAAAAATATATCAATTAGTAGGACTTTCTTGTTGGATTCCTATGTGTTTTAGTTTAAATATGCTTAGCTATATAAATTCTGATGAAGTAATTTGTGCATCATTAATAGGTAAGAATTGTTCAAATTTTTTTCTTTAAAACTGTTTAATTTATTTTATTGTTTTTCAGGTTTAGGTTTAACAGCTGGCTTACATATTGCCTCTTGGGTAATATCAAATAATCTTGTTGTTTTTGTATATTTAAGTAAAAATGATCAAAGGTGTCGAATGTCTTATATATCTTATTGGGGAAACCGAGAGGAATTATATTGCAACATTGAAGATATAACACCTATTGAATTATCCAAATTAAGTATTTTGAATCACAAAATTAAATTAAAAGGAAATTCAATCACATTTAAAATTATTACACGTAACTCAACCATTTTAAATAATGCTAAATTTAGAAAAGTTTTTGGTAGAAATATTATTTGAAAAATAAATTTGAATTGAGTCATGTAAGCAAATTATAATTTTTTTTTACATTCACTACCAATGTTGTATCAACATTAAATTGTACATGTGCATAGAACCCATTAACAATTGTTATTAAATAGTTATTTTATATAATCTGTTGCTTAATATTTAATTAGGCTCTTCTAGAATGTCTGTAAAAGTATAAAGTAAAAAAAAACTTTATTTTTATAAATAACTTAAAAAGATGTATGTTCTACATTATAGTCGTACAATATTTAGAAAACCATTAACTTATAATCTTTGGCCTGTTAAGGGATACTATTTAATTTTTAAAATACAATATAAAATTTTATGATATGTTCATCTGTAAGAGAGGCAGATTATGTTTTTTTTTTGACTTCACAACCTGAATCATTCATTATTGTAAATATGGCCGAGAGGGTGTTAAACACCAGAATACTCCCTTGCTCTTATAAACATCACTGGATAGTCTACTAATATACAATGCTTTTAGTGCTTATGGATCAAGTCCAGTGTAAATAAACATGGTTAGGTTTAAGGAATATATGCCATCTTTTCCATTAAATACACATCTGGGTTTTAATAGCTATGTTGACAAAAAATGTGTAAATTGCATATAATAGAATACATTAATATTAATAAAAAGAAATTTTATTAGCCATCAAATCTAAAGCACATCAACAATTTATTTATTAAACGTATAGCTTATTAATTTAATAATTTAATTATACATATGTATACATAACATGCATTGTGTAAATCAGTTTAATTTAATAAAGTAGCTACTATTTTACTTAAAATCAATAAATATAAAATATTACCTTATAAGTCATACAACATTGTCAATTACTGTATCAATGATTGTACTCTTTTTCTAATAATTAATTAAACATATCTCTTACTATTTCTTAATTAATTGTTATAACTTAATGTAAATATAGTAAATAATACAAATATTCACTATACATAAAATTAAATATTAATATTTGACAAAAAAAAAAAAAATACTGACATATATAAACAATAAAAAACCAATCAATGCATACATTTATAATATAAAAATGAAGAAATATTTTTTTTTAAATAACTTAATTTATTACTTTTAAATAATGTTCTTATATTTATACTATAAACTACATGACTAAAATTATTGTACTTATTGAAAAGAGTGATTTAATTATTAAGTAAATTACATTATGTAAGGTATTATTCACTTTTATTTTTATTGATATTTATTAACAGTTACAAATATAAACTTATAACTAATTGCAAGAAACAAATAATAAATAAATAATTCAAGTAAAAGAGTAAAACATTTCCAGTGGCTTGTTAACTTTCCAATATTTATCGTGTACATTTCGAAGAGTTTGATTGCCATTGAGAGGAACAAATTGATCCGCAGTAGGTGCAACATAGATCAAAAAATTTAGGGCTCGTTCTGGAAGTTCAGGACCAAGATCTAATGTCAATCGCATGGCTAAATACTTACTCAAATGATCAACTGAAAAAAAAATCATGTATGTGTAATGAAGGTTTAGAAAATTAGAATTGTGTTTCTTTATTCTACTTATAATTATTGGTTAAATTATTCATGTGTTTAATTTAACTAATTTAAAATTCAAAGCTATCAAATATCAACTTTTTAATAGTATACAATTTTTTAATGTTATTTAAGCAACATTTTTTTCTTTTCTAAGCTTGGACGTATCTAGTACTAATAATAAATGAATGTGAATACATTAACATTAATACATATTTTTACACGAAAGTTTGTACAAATAGTACTTGATTACACTTAAAACTATAGAGATGATAACACATTAAAATAATACAAAAATCGCACATAGAATTCTAGATGGCATTTCATTCTGTAGTGTTTAATTGTGATAAAGTATTTTAATTTAAAATGCTTACCAGTTGCATTAGCTGTTGTTTTTATATAACGTACTGAGTTTTCTTTCAAAACTCTAATCAATTGATTATCACTGGCCATTTCTGTAGGATGTGGTTTAAATACTAGTTCTATTTCATCTACTGACACACCTTTTGATGTACCATCACATTCTGTTATGTCTGAGGTGTCGACAGTTGAAGCTGGTCCTTCCTTTTCTGAGATCATAACAGACTTCATTTTTTTTGCCACTTTTGTTTGTACCATAGTTCTTGTTACATTATCTCGGCTTGAACTATTTGAAGGTTTTGATGTAGTTGATGAGCTACTTTCATTTAGTTCTTCATGTTGGTTCTTTTTGGTTCGTTGAAGTCGATTTTGAGTTTGTAATTTAATACCTTCATTTATTGATTGAACTAAATTAGCCTGACTATGACTTTTATTTAACTTTTCCAATACTCTAGTTTGATGTGCTTCATATTCATCACGGCTAGGATAGATCTTAGATATAAGAAGATCAAAATTTGGATCAGGACGTAGAGACCTTTTAGATACTAGTTTTTTACGACAAGTAGGACATTCCTTATTGCCTGAACGAAGAGCAGTCACAATACAATCTGAACAGAATCTAAAAAAATAATTAATTATAATACAGACAGTATATTTAAATGTATTATAATTACCTGTGAAGACACTCTTTAGTAGTCATTGTTTTTTTCAACATATCCAAACATATTGGACACATTAATTCACTATGTAGACTTCGTGGTGATACAGCAATTTCGGTATTGTCAGTAATAGCTTCTTGAGGAGATCTATGCAATTCATATAGTGAAAGTTCCCAAGTTTTGGTAAGACCCATTGGATCTGCTGAAGCCATGATAAGTAAGTAAAATTTATTAAATTACGGTTAAAATAAATTGAGTGCGAGTATTACAAAAAAACGTATAATATTTAAATAAAATAGGTACTTAATAATAGTAATAGAAATAATAATAATAATAACAATAATAACAATAATATATTAATTAATTTAACTATAAAATAAAGCTTAATTTAACAATATTATAATGACCAAAAAAATAATAAATCGATCATTTTTGGGACATAGACTAAAGTATTATAATATAAAATTTAGGTTTAGTGTTTACAAAAAATACTGTATTGTTGTCATAAACGACATAAACACATAAATCAGATTTCAGAATTGATTTCGTTCTCTATACGATAGTAAAAAATTACTCAAAAAAATCGATTATTAACCATGAAATAATTTAATTTATAACAAATGATAAACACTAAAAAAACCATAAAATAAGTATCATAATTAAAACTAAATCAAATAATACTATAGTAAAAACTAAAAATATTGAATATAAATTTTAAACTAATGTAAAATATTTAAATATGTAAGTATTACTATAATTCAGTCGTCAGTACTGTATTCACAAATTGTACGCATTTTACATCAATGCGATTGTTGATGTAAACAATAACGGGTTACGCAGTATCGATTTTTATTATCAGAAAAATTTCAAAATTATTTATATCAGCAAAATTGGGAAGTATAAAAGGTATAAAAATTAAAAACATTACAAACTTTATAATTCAATTAATATAATTTTAAACAATTAATTCATAACATTATTTTCTGTAGCAAATTAGGGGCTAGTGATAATTATAGCCCAATTACCTATAATATAATAAGCAAAATGGTTGGTTTCTTACTATCATTTGGTTCATCGACTTCATCGTACTTTCATGACTAAATATGAAATAATACAGACTATTCTTCAATACGTTATAGATGCATAAATCCAAATGGGTATTGTTGTAAATAAATTAATTTAAATATGTACTATGTTTAACACTAATAGTCAAAAAAATTCTTATTTTATTAAATTTAAAAAATTGAAATTTTATTTTTGTAATTTTTCTAATAACAACATTTGTATTTTTCAAAAATTTATTAAAATTAAATAAAGTCAGAGTAGGTTTTTTTATTAAAAAAAAAGTTAATTTTGTTGTCAATAATAATATTTTATTACTAAAATTAAATTATTTTAAATTACACAAAGATCTATCTTTAGGTCTAGATCTATATTTCAACCAATTAAAAGGACAAAATTCGTATTTTAACAAAATTGATTTAGACAGATTTGTTTTAAATTATTAATAACATTTATAACTACCTATCAAACTATTCAAAATGTATCATTTTAAAATTTATGTTATTAAATCAGAATTTCAGTTGAAAAAATTACATTAAATTTAAAAATATAAGTGCTCACTGATGGGTACGATCGCACAGAAATAATATAAATATTAGTTCACTAATAGTGGGAACTGTAAAATATTTAATATAGTTTGAATAATGTCAAATATTCACGTTTTCTATCGTAATATTTATTTAGAATTAAAATTAATATTATAAATACTTCAATAGTAATAAAATATAAAAGAAAATATGAACACTATCCTAAATTGTATTATATTGGCACAACACGGGCCTAACAGACTTGGCAAATCTACAAGATTTTTCTTTAAATAGGTAGGTAACTAACTTATTTTCTTAAAAAGTATGAACCTTTTAATTTTTCAAATGAATGATACGTTTTTAATTTCACATTTGAAGTCAAAGTATTTCCTAAGAATTTTATATTATAAAAATCCAATTTTCACTGAGTATATTGTTTAAATTATTGTTTTAATTTAAGTACAAGTATTTAATTTAGTTGAGCGAAATTGATACCAGTCCCTAAAATTGTGTTTACTACGACACACTTTGTGTAGTACCTACTACCTATAAAAAATTAAATATGTAATACGAAGTTCAAAAATGTGTAGCAAATAATAATGTTTTTTCTATATTATTACTATTCATTTTACATTGTATTGTTATAAACGTTTAATTAAAATATTCGTGTAGTACGAAAAATAGAAAATTTTAGGCCCTAGTTGATGATACTATGGATATTGGATATAATGACGCAGATAGATCCTCTTAAAAAGTGTTCCATCAATACTTTAAAAAATTATAATAAACTACCTATAACTCGTTTGAAATTTGATTTGTAGTATCATTAATAATAAATTATATTAGTATAATAGCATAATAATAGTAAAAAAATATTTTGCTTGGAGAAACATGAACAATATATAATAAAAAAAATCTTTCATAATATTTAAATTATCAACAAGTTATTATTCATGTAGTCATTCATTCTAAAAAATTGAAACCAAAAGTAAATGACCTGTTCCTAGAGAACAAGTGACGAGGAATCGATCAACTTATTGCAAGAGACCATTAAAATAAAAATAAAAATTAATATCTACCACATCTAGGACACGAGACAAGATTTTCAAGCCTACCATTATATTTTGTGATTTTTTTCCGATATCGTGACATCTCGACCTCTTCCTATTCGTAATTTTTCGAGATTCACGACGAATCTATTTGTTGGATCGAAATTTGTTGCCCCGTATGTGTGAATATCCTGGTCGAATTTTTTTCTCAATTCGATTAAAAAACAGTAGAACGCAACTGCAATTCGTCGATAGAATAATAAATAACTGTACGACAGAGTATATAGACATTAGACAGACGTTGAACTCTATTACAGATAACATAGATGGTCAGTTGAAATAAATTCCACTTCCACTTCTCTGTACAGTACAAATATAACTGTATAGAAATACAATTTGAACGAATATTTTGTACTTATGTTTGTAAATTTAAAGTTTAATATCTTTTCTACCTTTATATAGTTTAAAAATATAGTGATGAATAATGATGATGGTACTGAGAAAGTTGAAAGTGAAAAATAAAAATGTGATATTCGATTATGAGTTTGTGAACCGATTGGACGTAAGGACAAAGAAATAATAACAATATAACATTTTATCTCATAATTATTGTAAATAATGATTATAAATATCGAATCACAGAATAATTTTATTATTATTTATTTATTTTTTTACTTATTCTGTGACTGAATACAAGCTGTGATAGTGTTGAATTGGCGGGATTTTGGTTTATTATCTTGATTTCGTTGTTTATCAATTATCATTATTCAGTTTTCACTATTCAGTAAAGTTGTACAGTTGTGAGTTGAGTTTTAACTTATAATTTTTTTTTTTATTACCTCGTCTCCATTTTTCTAAATGTCGTTTATTTTTGTAAATTAAAATTTCAATTTTCCGTGCTCTAAGGGCGACGTCTTGTAAATCATAATAATGTACTTAAATACCTGAATTAAATCATGTTTGTGATGGTGATATTGCATGTATAGTACCTATGTGAGTATTATAAATTCTTAAGTGTTGTTTACTTTATAAAACCTCACAAATACTAGTTAGTAAATCTAGTATTCTAGTACAGCATGTTGATAATTTATGTCGTATAACCGTGATTCATGACATTTACCCCTTCTATAACTTATTACCAATATTCCCATTTAGGTATTGTAGTGTTTAATATGGTATACAAATTATACAACACTTATCAATGTATATGTCACATCTTGTTCTTATTATTATTTACTTAACAAGAAATGTTTATTGACCTTTTTTATTGTCAATTATTCAAGAGTTTATTTTCTTTGTATTCACAATATTTGTATAAATTGAACCTTTGTCTGATTTATACTGGCTCAGATGCTATCTGATTATTTTAATTATTAATTGGAAATAAGATAAATGTTTTATAATATTTTTTATTAGAAATAGGCTGAATATTAATATAATACATTTTAGAAATTTTGCTGTCAATTTTATTTTATTTTATAGGTATTTAAACCATTTAAAATAATATGTTATTATAATTATTTACTGAATAGGTTTCTGTAATTTGTATACTTTTGAATATTTTTTTTAAATTTTGTTCTGTACTCAAATCCTGTTCATAAATCAATCTAAATTATTTATGATTTAAAATGTATTTCTCTAATTATTTAAAGTTAAATTAATTTTATATTTTATTTCAGAAATGAAGTTAAATCAAGAGTATTGGGTATCAGAACTACCCAAACCACTTACTCGTATTCCTATTACAGAATTAGCAATTCCAGGTACGATTAAATAAATAATTTTTGTCGTAACTAATGTATATTAAGTTAAGAGACTGAGTAAGCCATACTAGTACACCTTATAAGTTATTGCTATATATTTGTTAAGAAAATTAATTAAATTAAAATTTAAAAAAAAAAATTAAAATTAAATTAAAATTTAATTAATTAAATTTTTTCTGTTAATAAAATTGATAAATATATGTATTCATATATATTATTTAAACTGATAAACTACGTCTTAGGATCTCATGATTCATTTTCGTACACCATCACACCACATAGCAAATTAGGGCCAGATGCATCGAGACTTGCAAAATATTTAAACTACCTATTTGGACCTGCCATGCGACGATTCGTCTACAAATGGTCTATTACTCAAACATGTGATATTCAAACTCAACTATATCTTGGAATAAGGTAATTTAAAATATTTATTTAATTTTGGTTTTTAAATTAAATTAGTAGGTATTACTACAATTTTAATTAGCATAATTAATTTCTGAGTTAACCTTTGATTATTTGTCTTAGCTTATAATAATAATTTCTTTATTTATGGAAATAAATTTCAATTATATAAATTAAGAAGTAATGATACTTTATGTATTAAAATATTACTATTTTAGTTATAAATATTAAACTTTTTATTAAAATTTTAGCTTATAAATAACATTAAGTCCAAGTTAATATCAAGAGAATTAAAGTGTTTAATCTCTAAGACTCTAGCATATCATTATCTTCATTTTTAATAATGGTCTTATTTGGATTTATCAATTTATTATGTTAATATATTAGCCGTATTATATTTTAAGATATTCTCATGAACACAGTTTCGAGAAATTAAATTGAATGTAAAAAAAAATGTATATGCAAACACAATATTTTTTGTACTTAAAAATTATTTCTAAAAATATCTTTATGATTGTTCATTAGGTATTTTGATTTAAGGATGGCAACTAAACCAAATGATAGTAATTTTTACACGGTTCATGCACTTTATGGTGATCCAGTTATGAAGGAATTGATGAATATTAAGGAATTTTTGGTGACACATACTAGAGAAATTCTTGTACTGGATTTTCAACATTTTTATAATTTCTCAGAAGCTGATCACAATCGATTATCCTCCGTTTTGAAATTACTATTTTATGGTATGATTTGTCCTTATTATTATCCAATTAAAAAGCTTAACTTGGATTCAATGAGAGCAAATAATTGGCAGGTAATCAAATGGATAATAGCTATTTAAAATACATACATTTTATAAAATAAATCGATGTGCATCATTAATTTAGAGAAAACCTGTTTAGCCCTCCTATAGACATTTTTAGCACTCTTTGTACTATTTATTTTTATTTTTTAGTCTTTCCTGGTTAAAATACAAATAAAAAAAAAAACAACAAAAATCTGTTATTGAAATTTTATAATTAATATAATTATTATTACTTGTAGGTGATTATAATTTATAGACATTCTCAAGATGATATATTTTGGCCATCTTCATATTGGCCAACACCATGGCCACAAACCACATCTTATAAAAAGTTAATTGGATTTTTAGAATGTGGTCTTAAAAAAAGAAAACAAAATGCAGGATATGTAACTCAGTGTCTTTTTACTCCAGATGTAAAGTTTATAGTGAGATATTTTTATTTAAATCTTCAAAGTTGTTGTCGTCCATTAAATATTGCAATACCTAAATGGATAAATAATCAAAAAACAGGTTTTGAGCATGGCGTGAACGTCATAATTGCAGACTTCATTAACAGCAATGGATTTAATTTCTGTGATATTGTTGTCCACCTGAATTATAAATGTTTGGAAACTTTAAAAAATACAACTGGTTTTGTAACAGAATAATTGTTAATATTTATGTTACACATTAAATATTTTTTATTATTATACTATATTATGTGCTTACTCAGTCTCATGAAAACTTTATTTTAATGAATTAATTATATTTACATTGGAAATATCATTACAGAATATATTTAAATGACTAGTAGGTTATTACCTGCAATAGTCCACGAAGTATTGGATAATATAAGAAAAGATTATGAACGACGATCTTGTATTGAAGAATTATTATTAAGCTTGAACTCAGTTTTTGGTTCAACATTGACTGAACATGCTCTTGAACTAATTGATGATGGTAGTGTATTTTTAATTACAAGTCATCAGCGTAGTATACTTCAAATAGTTGGCTCAAGAGGTGATATTTATACCATAATGGAAACATCTAATTTTTGTACATGTAATTTTTTCAAACATCAAGTTTTGAAAGATAAAGCATTATGTTGCAAACATTTTTTAGCTGCTAAAATAGCATTAATTTTAGGAAGCTTCAAAACGAAAAATGAGACTCTTGAAGGTATAACTTCAATTATGATTTCTGCGTATGGTAATCAAGAATTTTAATAAACAAGTTAAATGTTTATAATAAATAATTTTAAATAAAATTATATGTATATTAAAGTTAAATTGTATAAATTGTATTATATGGTATTAATGGAATATAGAAAAGTTAATTTATAGTTATTTCAAGATACTTCTTTTATGATTTAATTTTTTTAATTTTCTATAAATAAATAAAATATGATTAAAAATATTCCTAACTTAATTTTATATTTCCTATCTACATTCATATAACATGTGTAGGTTGGTTTATAATGTTTACATATTTGACAATGGCCAGTCATAAGAATTTATATTGTGTCTAAATTAAATTTTAAAACTTTGTTATTTTTTTTTCACAAAACAGTAAAATTGTTTGAAATATGCCCGTGTTCATAAATTATGATGTTTCAATGTCTAAAAAACAGGTATTCAAATATATTTATGTTATGAACATGTCTGAAAATATTGTATAAACCATTAACCATATACATCATTTTAAATGAACCTAGTATTCAACTTTTAAGAAATATTTATCATAATTTTTTTACTGAAGACTGAACGATAGGAATGATTAACAAAAATTACTAGCCAATACTCTAATAGACGTATAATTAAGTTATAGTTAACACTGTGTATAGTATACCTATACTATTTAATGTTATATTTATAACTAAAAATCATGGAATTTGGTTTACTATGTAATATTATGTAATATATTTTAGATTTTACTTGTCGTTAAGTGAGTCTTGACTTCTCCATGTTTGTCAATAGATATATTAAATTTGAAATCAATGATAATGTGCATACAAAACAATAATTCAAAACAGTTATGATAAATCAATTTTTTTTTCTAAGGGTATCTCATATTTTATTTTTTTATAAATAAATTAAACAAATAAATATTGAACTAATATTTACCAAAAATATCATTTTTTTATTATGTATTAAAATGGTAAAGATTAGTTCATAGTATTTGAAGATAATTTTTTAAAATAAATCAGAATTGTCATTGCATATAGTTTAATTTATAATGATATAATTAATATTTTAAAGTTTTAAATTACCACGAATAGTGTTTTTAAATTGTAATAAAATAACTATCATTGTTTAAATGATTAATTTTGTCCAAATTTGAGCTTAAAATGTCTAAAAAATAAAATTAAAGAAATAAAGATAATGCTTTATGTATTCAATGTTGTGAAAACTTTTAATTTCGTAAAAATTGAATTTTGTATTTCTAGTAGAATATTTTTTTCTGTATAAATGTTGAAATATTTGTATCTTGCATTAAAATTTCAAGCATTTCTACCACCAAGCAATTTTTATCGATGTTTATAGGGATAAAAATATTGGACTTACTTAAAAATTCCCTTTTCTTTCTATTTAAAAAAAAAGTGTACTGTAAATGTTTAAATATGATCTCTCCAAAGCACAATTTTGTCTCATAAAAAGGTAACCAATTTGCTATCAATAAACACTCTCAAGGTTGAAAATCAAAGCATTTTATCAGTTACTTATTGTGTATTTATTAAAAAACCACATTGTAGTCAAATTAAAGACATTTATTGCTAGGATTTAAATTTTCAAAACTAGTGTTGTGTAAATATTTACGTTTATCTATAATTGTTTTCCTGATTATTTTGAATAATGCTGAAAATTTAAACTTAACTTCATAGTTGACGATTGAAGCACGTTAAGTGCTTCTAAGGTAATGTTAGGCACAGAAATAAATAATAAACATTCATCTAAAATTTTCAAACTATTTTCAACTTTTCTAAAAATCTTATTGCCTCTTTATTTAAAGAATTAAACGTTTAATATTTGTTATCCATTATTCATAGTTTTAGACATTTTGTTTTGCACATTTGTAATATTTCTTTTTATAACATATATAATATATATAATATATGTGTTCCTTAAGGATTTTACTTTGTCTTTTGATGATTTATTTATTTCATTTGTTCAATCTTATCAATGTTCATAAATACTCTAAACATTAAAATTATTACAACGCACTTAAAAATTAGGAATATCAGATCTATAGATTTTGTTTTTTGATAAATAATTTTAAGTGATACCTTGGATTGTAATTTTTTTCTTGCTTTTTAGGATGTTTAAAATTCTTTAGCTGTAGAAGAGTAATATAATTTTATTTTTTTATAAATTTGATAATAACTAATTGTTTACATTTATCCAAGATTTGTTTGTAGTACTTGATAAACATTTCTTCTTTTTTATATTTGAAAATTCTTTAGTTTCTAGTTCTAATATTTTATTACCATTTACTTCTATTCTTTTAAGTTCTTGTAAAGAAACGGGTCCAGAATACAAAGGAACTGACATTACGTCAATTGATTCAATCAATTGCCACTCATTATTATTTGATATTGTATTTTGTTTAAAATACTTAATATTATCATTAGAATTTAGAAATGTTGAGCTTTCTAAAGAATCAATAGAAAAATTGCTGTAACTCATATCATGAAATGAAGGAATAAATAGAATAAATAATATATTTATTAACTAGTTGGTATAGAAATTAATGTTTGTAAATAATTATTATTTATTGATATGGTGTACATAGTGCAACCATATGATCAACTCCACAACTTACACGTTTAACAGCAGCACCAACTGAAACCTAAAAATTTATTTTAAAATTAAATATTAACTCAATTTTATTTTAGTTATATTGTTGAACATAAAAATGATTTACTTGTAAAGGAAAATATTGGTCTTTTATATGGCCAAGACCTAGTTGACCCCATTTATTTTTTCCCCATGTGTATAGATTTCCTTCAGATGTAATAGCTGCCATATGAAAAACACCACTATACACAGATTTCACTTGTGTTTCAGGATTATATTGATTTCTACCAAATAAAATTGGTGGTATGGGTGTTGGTTCTCGGCTACAATTCATATCAGGGCCTTTGCCCAGAATACCAAAACCCCAAACAAAAACCATACCTTCATCTACACAGAAAAATTTATCAGATATAAAATAATTTTCAACATAATCATATTTCTATACCGTTTAAAGCTATACAAGATGACCCAGTAGAACCAATATCAGTGATTTTACCAATAGCTTTATTCAAAAGTAACTTTCTTGGTGTATTAACTTGATATTTATCACTGTCTAATAATAATTGACCATACTCTGAATTACCCCAGCCAAAAACTTCTCCTTGATCTAAAAAAAAAAAAAGTAATAATTTTATTAAAGACATTGGTTATTAGTTTTTCTTTACTTTTTAATATTGTAGTCTGTAATCAATCATTTATTTAACTTAAACATGATATTAACATATTCAAGACACAAAACATTGTTGATAAATTACTTACCATTTAAAGCTAAAACACAATCAGCTGAAGATACTAATTTTACAATTTTTTCATTTTTAATGTCTCCTTCAACAAGAGTGGGTTGTGATTCATTATTATAATGTCCTAATCCAGTTTGACCATCGGCACCCCATCCACATGAATATACTTTACCAGTTTTAGTTATGAATAAACTAAACAATTCAATACATTTAAATTATTTGTATAATAAACCACACAAGATGAAAAAAAAATGGTTTACCTATGGTCTTGGCCGCAAACTATTTTTGAAATACTATCATCTAATTTAATATTATTCGCATTTCGTAGCTTACTAAAGTCTTCATTATCAATTATTTTTCGCCCACATTGTCCATAACAATTACTACCTAAAGCATATACACCATCTGTGTTTGTTAATACAAGTGTATGTGCACGACCTGCAGCCACTGCTTTTATTTTAGTGTTAGGTTTTTTTAAAGGAAGTTGAATTGGTACTGTGGCTAATATCAATCCTAATGGATACCCTTTTCGTGGATCATGGTATCCTACATAGAATAGAAGAAACAAATATCAATATAATTTATAAACAATTTTTGAGTATTTTTGTTACTTTTTTGTTTCTAATTCAAAAATTATTCAAATAATATTTTTACACATAACACTTAACCAAAAAGTGTAATTCTTTATAGTTTGTAACAGTACTTATAAATTAAAATTCTTTATACATCTTTAGTTTATCATTTTTTACAAGACATTTGACTTATATCAGGGCATGTGTTTAGTCCACTTATCATTTTTATTCCTAGACTTACCTTTGGTATAGAGGATAGTTCTAATGTTATATTATAATAAAAATTGTGTTAATTGTCTTGCAATCTCTACTAATTAAAAATTAAGTACAAAAAAACTTTAAATATTAAGTTATTAATTTTGCATAACAAAAATGGATAGTAAAAATAGGTTTAATTTTACCTATTTGTGAATCTGTATTCAAACCGCAACCAAAAAGTTTGTATTGATTACTATCAACAGCATAAACTGTAAATCCATAACCACATGCTAAATCCTTGATCTAGAAAGGTGTGTTTGTAAGTACATATATTATATACTTTATACATATAAATATATAATTATTCATACTTTATGAGAATATGAAAACCTCAATCTCACAGGTCTGTAAATGAACTGTATTTGACGCTCTCTGGATCTGATTTTTAAATCACCTAAAGCACCATGTTCAGCCATACCCCATACATACAAACGCTGCTGATCTTTAGGTGACTCGCTATATGGTGCCACTAAAGAAAACATTAAGTATCTAAAATAATAATTCTACCTTAAATGAATGAACTTCATATGCATCTTACTAAAAGGATCAACATTTTCAGATTTAACATTGACACCGACATATCGTTTTGAACATAATGCACAACTTGTCTTCTTTAATAAATGAAATAATTTTGACAATTTAATAGACATCATTCATGAATTATGTAACATAAATTATATACAAATAAAATTTGATGAAGAACTTTATTCGTGTAAAGAACACTGTTGCAAGATTTGTCAATTAAATTTATTGAATTGGATTTTTAAAAATTCATGTCATAACAACTCCAAAATTCTCCGTACACCGGTCTTGTATTGACATTTGACTTGACTATTATTAACTGTTATCATTTTTATTCGTTTGATTAAAACATGATTCAAGATTGTATTATCTACGATACAGACCGTATAATATGTATATGTATAAATTTATAAGTAAACTTGTTTACTGATTTTACAGAATGCGTCAATTATCACTATTCACTATTCAGTATTCACTATTCAGTATGACTGTGTATAGTTAGAAAAACTGAATACTCTAAAAGTAAAAGACGAGTTAAACTATTAACTATAGGTTCTAGTTGAAGTGTAAAATTATATAGTTAGTATTTATTATTTTTATATACCAATTGGCAATTTATGGATGGAAAGTAATTAAGTAAGAGTTGTGACTTATAAATAACTGTTATGTCTAACAGAAAAATCATTATTTAGGATATAATTGAAATTAAAATTTGTACTCAGTATCACTATTCACATACGGTTGATATAATCGCATTACATTTTATATTCAGAAATGGAATCGTTTTATGGTTTACCTTTTAAAGTTCTTGAAGTCCCAAATTTACGTTTAAAACGACCGTCATGGTTAAAGAAGCCATCTGCCATGTTTATGTATGTGATTGTAACAATCTCATATTTTTTAGTGACCGGAGGTAAATGTATATTTATAAATAATAAATATGTTTATTGATAATTTAGTTACTAATTTCTTTAATAATATTATGTTTAGGGATTATATATGATGTCATCATAGAACCACCTAGTGTAGGTTCAACTACAGATGAAAAAGGACATTCAAAACCAGTTAATTGCTTTTTACTTCAATTTTTTGATTATATTAATATGAATTTTGTCTAAATAAGTTTTTTTTTTATTAAATAGGTGGCATTTATGCCTTACAGAGTTAATGGACAGTACATTATGGAAGGTTTAGCATCAAGTTTTCTGTTTAACATTGGGGGCTTAGGATTTGTTATATTGGATTTAACCAATAATAAATCAACTCCAAAATTGAATCGTACTCTTTTGACTGGTGTTGGATTTGCGTGCATCATTGTATCATATTTTACATGTTGGACATTTATGAGAATGAAGCTTCCGTATGTATATATTATTGTATTAACTTTCCAGATAAATTATTATTATCAATTATCAGTCATATAATTTATAGATAATATTTGAGTAATTTTTCATATTTTTATTTAAAATTATATCTCATATTTTATCAATACTACTCACCTATAAAACTTAATATATAGAGAAATATCATTCATAAATATATAATTTTTATATTATAAATGAATGATTAAGTTTAGCTGGTATTGAAGTGATAACAAACAAGTTCAAAACTATGATTTAATCGACAATTTTTCTAATTTCTTTTAATATGATAAGTAAAGAAAGTCATCAGGTAATAATAATTTTCACATTTAAAACAAAGTATAAAAATTTTGAAATTTATTTTAAAATACAATGATATATAGTTAAAAATTAATTTATACTAAAGCCTCAAAAATATCTTCCATGTTTTTAAATACTCATTACCAGAATATCAATTTATGGTTATTTTTTTATTAAAATTAATACATACAGGTATATGTACTTATGACTAAAAAAATTTTCTCCAGTTTTAAAATTTATTGTAATCATGTTGGGTTTTATTACTGGATGGCCTACCATTTTATATCATTCATGTAAAAAAATTTTGTATGTATTTTTCATATTTGTCATTAGATTATAGATTTTATTATGTTGTAGCAGTATACAGATTCTTATATTTCTTTGAATAATAAAAAAAAATTGTTATTTTTAAAAATACTTACATTTAAAAGAGTTATTAAAAACTAAATTTCTTCTAATTAAATTCAAAAGAAAACATAAAAACAATAATTTAAATAGAAAAATATTTATGATAAATTTTAAACTCTATTTTTAAAAAATCTAAATATTTGTAAGTTATTTTTCAAAATTGTTTGTCTATTTTCTTAAAAAGTTGCTTGGAAAATAAATATGAATTTTTGTTCTTAATAATGTATAATGTTGTATCATATATTAATATTTAATAGTATGATTCTAAGATGATATTAAAAAATCTCATATCTATAAAACAAGATATCTTACTGATAGTTTTATTTATTAATAAAAAGTATTAATGAATTTAAAACCTTTTTAGTATCATAATGTGAATATAGTAATTTAAATATTATTATTTTCTTAATAAATGATTTATATTTTTTCAGGGGATACTTGAAGTCATAAGAAATAAAAACATTGAACAAAACACACATTTCTTTTTTTTATTTTATGTTTTCATAAGCCAATCAATATTTTCAATTTATATGTATTGAGTTATAATAAATAATGATTAAAATCAAATAATAATAAAGTATAATTTATCCACAAAATTATTATTATATTATCTACTATTTCCAAACTTATATTCTTCATAAACTTATGTTTTCAAAGTTTAATATTGAACATTCTGAAAAAAAAAAAATTTATTTAGTAACACAAATAAACTTTTTAAAATACAAATAATACATCATTTCCAAATAAATCAAATCAAATAAATAACCATGGAATTAATTCTTATTATAAATTAAAAATATAAAATAGATTTTGGAAATTCACAATAAATATTTTTATTAGTTAATAATTTACAGTAGCTACAACTTAAGTTTTTTCTAGAACCTTGTGCTATTTTTCTCTGTTGGAACTTAACTAATAACTTGACAATTATGTATGCAGAATTTAGCTAATTACTATTATTACTTGCAATAAGCTTTTACAATATGTGAAGTCACAAAATTCTAATTGTTCTATCCTTAGATAATTCAATAACTCATATACGTAGCATATCAAATCCACCTTAATTTGCAATTCATTCCAACACCAATAATAGTTAACACTTTTAATGGATCTAAATTGATTCATTTACTAGCCTTAAAAATATTTAATATAAAAAATCATGAACTTATATCATGCAAAATATTTTTTACTATCTTCCACCAACTAAAAGATTTGATTGACATAGATCTAGGTATGGTGCATTAAAAATAAACCTTCACCTTTGATTTTATCTTAGTTAAAGAATTCACAGTAAATTCCATTAATAATCATCCAAATCTATTAATATCTAGGATTTTATATTCTTCCGTGATATATTCATTCGATCTTAGTGTTCAAAAAGATAACTTTCATACAACTTCAACAAATAATAAATACATCCACAAACTTCACCTGGGTAAGAATTTATTTATTGATAGTACAAATCTTTTTTATTTTGCTTCAATTGAAGTACATAAAATTAACATTATAGTTATAATGATTAATTTATAGTTTTCTATTTCTTAATTCTAAATATATTTTTGATGTACACACAAAAAATTCTAGACAGATTCAACAAATGTTGAAAAGCTCTTATGAATCTAACATAGTTAAGATTAGTCTTTATTTTTATTTATTTATTATTATTTATGTTTACATTTTTGTTTCTTAAATATAAAAATATTGAAAAAAATAATGAATTGTCAAAGTAAAATAGTTCAAATGTACTCATCTTATTTTAATTGTTTCAAAAATTAAAATTACTTAGTTATAAATTTCTTATTCGGTTTTAAATTTAATGCATTTACTTATGAGTTATGCATTAAAAATATTAATAAATTATTCTATAGCAATGCAAAACTGAAAATAAATCAATAATAGTGTAATGATCAAAAACATAAAAATACTAAAAGCTACAAAAGGTTAAAAATGTTAATTTGAAAAAAATAAACTTTTTAAATTATAATTTGATATTGAATTAAATTTTTTCTAATTTAAAACTTAGACTGAGGTTTATCAACAAGCAACCTTATTAAATGCCATAGTTTTTCCTTTAACAAATAATTGTTTTTTCAAACATGGATACATGACAGGTTGATTTACCCTTAACAACAATTTGTACCTTTCAGTCATTAGAAGTTCATTAAAGATTTTATTAAATTTGTGATTCTTAGGAATTGAATATAGGTACTTAGAATTATGTGAGTAGATTACAACAATATGGTCAATTGGAAAGTAGTTAACATTTTCTAACGATATTCTGTTGGTTTTTAACAATAATGATTAATGACAAATAAGTTCATCACATTCTGTAGAGTACTCTATACAACTAATAACTACAGATTAAAAAACTAATAATTCAACAATATAATAATTATGGCTTATAAAACAGATTCAAATCATGAGCATAATTGTTGTATGAATTGTTAAGTGTGATTTACCAAGCATGCTGACACCTTTATTTTCAATAAAAAAATTAGTAATATTGTTAAAAATTTAGGATAAAAAAAAAGCCACCAATAAAAAAAGCATAAATAAAAAATCAACTAGATAAAAACACAAATCTATTTTTGTGATAAAACAATTCTATGTAATGTATTATTATTTATTTAAAATATATGATCATTATTTAATAAACTTATAAAAATATACAAAACTAATAATAATTAAAATAATTGTATTATGCAAATAATAACTGTCAACTATTCATAAATTGTCTCCATTGCATTAAGTCATTACTACATATATTACATAATTGTTTTCATAAGCTTTTTCTTTTTATTGGATTTTATCTATTGGAAATTAGGCTAATATTGTTTTGTCAAAAGACAACTGTAATTTCATATTTTTAATTAGTGTTCAAATTAAAGGATGACTGTGACCTACTAATTTTGAAAAACAATGGCTCCACTTTTTTATTTGATTATTAACAAATCTACTAACATTTTTGATTTTTTTTTTTTAAAGTAGTACGAGTGTAATAAACACTAGATTTAATATTACATTTATTTCATATTTTTGTAAACTATTTTTAAGACTATTATCCTAAATACAAATATTTTAACTAAAAAATTTACTTTAAATTTTAAATTAAGTACAACAAAAATTTAATGATTATTTACTGAATAATTTTTAATAAAAATGAGGTTCTCATTTGAAAAACAGATGTTTGAATCGTCATAAGAGACTCTTTAATAAAACAAAAATTCTTAAGAATTAAAAATATAGATTAAGTATATTTAAAAAATTCAAAAATTAAAATTTGAATAAATATATGACTAAATTAATAATGCTACGAGTGATTAAATCTCAAAAAATATTTAAACTTATGAGGTGTTTTAGTTTAACAAGTAGCAACCATACAATTCATACAGTATGTTAAATATAAAAATAAATGGAACTCACATTATCTTGAAAAAAAACACAAGTGCTCTGATAATTTAAACATGCAGTGATTATACAAAAATAAATGTATACTAACTTTACAAAATCTGGACACATATCAGTTACATGTTCAAATTCAGAAAACGAAAGAGCGCCGTCATCGTCAAAATCTACTTCTTCAAATATTTTTTGTACCAAACGTTTAAGATCATTATCATTAAAAATATTTTGTTCTCCAACTAAACATTGAATAACTCTTTTTATGTCTCCGATTCCCAACATGTCATCACCATCAAAATCTAAACATTATAATTAGGATATTAACAAAATCCATTTAAATTATTTAATAATTTTACTATTTTTTAATAACTAGAAATTATTGATGGATGACAAAAAATTTAAAATCTAATCAACAATATTATTAATAAAAATTCTAAAATTAAAATATAATGTCGTATTTTAAAAAGCCAGATATGTATTAATTACTTGTAAATATAAATTTAACATATAGTCTTATTATTCTATTGAGCATTATTTATTATGCCTGATAATTAATTAAATAAAAATACCCATAGTATATAGAACCAGAATAGCTATAACAACCTTTCCTTTTTTTAATGAAATGTACATAATACTTTAAATTATTAATCAAAATTAATTCTACTCAAAAACCCAAAAAATTATATAATTCTTTATTTTTTAGTATTTCTTACCAAAAATTCTAAAAACATGTTCAGCTTTTACATCTGCAGGTGCCATAGTACTAAATACTGACATCATATCTAAAAAATCTTCGAATGTACAATCCCCATCTTGACTAGAACTGAATACTTGACACATACGTTCACCAAAAGGATTAGCTGCTAATTCAGGAAGCTTAAGGACTTTGTTTAGTGCTAATTTGGCATTTTTATTATGTCCCACTTTTTCAGGAGCTAAAGACTTGAACTTTTCATGCGCACTAAACATTTTATTAATTTTTAAACTTATGATACAATTCCCATTATATAATATTTGTAATAGATTTTTATTTTATTTTTTTTTTACAAAATAATTCATAATATACTTACATTAAAACTTCTTTTTTTGTAAAATAAGTGAGATCCTAAAAATAAAATAAATGAGAAAATATGATTTTTCTTATTGAAATATAATTGTTCACTTTAAAAATAAAAGTAAATGTTTATCAGGCTATATTTTACTATACAACAAGTAAACATATTTTACATTAATTCTAATTTTTATATAAAAATAATATACTTAAATATGACAATTAATTTTATGTGTAACTAACCTAAATTATAATATCTAGTTTTTACAGTTTATAATATACAATATTTATCAATAATAAAAATATTTTATTGGTTCCAATCTTGAGTACTAGGTCCTGCATCTGGTTCTTCTTCAACAGTAGGCATTGGGGACCGACTTTCAAATAGTGGTGACATTGCTTCGGATGTATTTTCACCACTACTACAATGGCCACTATTCTTATGCGTGCGCTCTGTTTGTTTCTTTGTAGTCCTAAATCTCATTCGTTCTTCCATTTCACACGCTTCATGATGAGCACTACGTTTACCATCATCAAGATCTTCAACAACTTCTGGTTCTGGAACTGTTGCAGCAAATTCAACAGGATCTACGTCTAATTCTTTAACAATACGCCATTTGGGGGTAACTATTTCTTTATACTTGACCATTTCAACCCTTGATGCAGCAGCAATACTATATGGTATTACAATATTGTCAATATCATACTCACGCTTAGCATTGTAAGTTTTATCTCCTGTTCTTGGGAACCAAGGACTATAATCAGGATCAGAGTCATAATTGTCTTCATCATATGCATCATCAAGATCATCATCATCACAAATACTTTCACTACTTCTTCGACTGTTATATTTATAATCTTCATCCATTCTACTTCTTTTATGTTTGCTATAACGTATTCTTCTTCTTTTTCTTGCTTGCCTTTGATTTCGATTGAATTTGGTAATTGGATCATTGCGGGTAGGCCAAGCATTTTGTAATTTAACAGGTGGAACTTGCCTAGTAGTAGGACTTTGTTCAGGAGTCCGGTCCACAAAATATTTATTAAAATCTGTACTAGATGAAGACTTATTTTTTTGTTTTAGATGAAAAGACGATTTTCCTAACTCATTAGATAATGCAACATTTAAAGAAATGTCTTTGGAATATGATAGAACTGGGTGAAAAGTATCACTCAAAAAATGACCAGAATCATTTGAATGGCGTTGAAGACTTACACAAGTAGGACAAGAATCAATCCCATAGCAATCACAGGGATTAATACGATTTAATTTGGCTTTGTCTCCTTTTCTTAATGCTGCAGCCAAGTTTATGAGTGGAGGTTGCATTAACATTCTATGCCGAGTTTTTGGTTCATATGGAAAACATCTTCTACCAGATTCTTCTTCCTGGTCTTGTATATAAGGATGAGAAGAATATCGATTTAATGCTTCATTATAAAAATTAATTTTGAACTCTATATCAGACATAACATTAACTAGCCAAGTTAATCGGTATGCAATACTTGCCCTTTCATGAAGCCACTTCCAAGAATTGCTTTTTTCTATAGGACAATTAGATGATTGTAATTCTTCTTCGCTGGTTTCTCCTAACGTATCACTTTCTGAATCACTAGCTGTTGCTTCTGAGTCGTATTCTTCATTTACTGTTTTAATTTGTGACTCTAACATTCCAAAAACTTTTTCACCATCTTTAATTTCATCACAGAGTAAACTTTTCAAAAATGGATTGGATTGCCTTTTTTGAACTTTGAGCAATGTTGATTTGATATTTTTAATAGCGTTACTTTTATGCGATTGTAATACATTATAGATTTCTTGAGTGGAACACTTGCTCATTGTTTTAAGTTGTATATTTTGTAACTTTGATATTATTTTTTGAAGTCGCTCACTCAACATTTTACCTTTGTTTACAAGTTTGTTGAAATTCTCTTTTACAGTAGGTGTTTCATCATATTGAGTAACAACTTCTTCTTCAGCCATTCCAATTACATTATCTAATAGATCTTTTTCAAAAGAACTTAAATCGTTATCCCCAATTGTAAACATTGCATCTGCATCGCTATTACCCATTTCGATTTGTATCGTATCATTTTCATAAGACATTAAGCCATTTTTTACCATTGAAATATTTTTCATCACACCAAGTAAGTCATCGGAAGAAAGTTCCATGGGATCACCATTCTTTACAGGTGGATTCTCATCCATAGCTGGATCCTTGCACATACACGCGTTTTTTACAGCAACCGCCAATAAAGATAGCACTTGTGAAGACGTTTTCATAGACGAAAATTTGATTGTTATTATAAATTTCTGCAGTGTTACATGAACAAATATTGATGCCATCGCAGAGTTGCCAACCTCATTTCTTCGATATATCGTACAACAACTATCAAAGTATTGTATTCAATAAATAATATACCGTACATTCATAAAAATATTTTCCCTTCCCTAGAAGTCTAGTAAGGCGTTATCACACAATATATTTAATAATGCCTATGAATAATAAAGATTAAACATTATCAATCTATAACGTCTACATCTCTACGATAACACTATTATTGTTATCTTAAGTTGTTCACTTAAGTTTAGTCGAGTTGATAACTAGGTCTGTGTTCGATTTAATTTTAATTTTATTTATTAATAATGCGCTAAGATTAATAATTAAATATATAGAACATTTTAACAGACTTGTTTTAATTTTTATATTTGTTATTCTTTCTTTATGTAGTTCTTAAAGTTTGTTCAGTATATTTTTTTTGAATGTCAGGCCTCGACGATTAATATTAATTTAATCAATAAACATTGCAATTTTTTATCTCTTTCAAATATTTAATTAAAAATTATGTTGAATAAATTGTATTTATATTTAATTTTCATATTGAATTATGAAAAGAACAATAATATATTGTTACCTAATAAATTAAATATGTAAAATATATAATACATGTATATTTTATTTTTTGAAAAGTGACAACTACAATGGTCAATTACATAGTAACATCCAGTTATGATACTGCGGCTTTTATACTTAATAAAAATTATCGTTTCGATCGTCACGATATACGTATTTCGTTAAGAGGACGCTGCACGGCATGTGTTATCTCTGTCTTACATATATACAACATGGCAAATTCTAATTCACCAAAATCCATTTTATGTTGTTAGCTTTAACACACTATTGTTGCAATGATTGAGTAAATTTACCTATTATCAAATTTAAAGGTAAGAAATTTATCTAGGCAATGGCATAGAATTTTATTGATATTTTATTTTATTTTTAAGCTGAGTTATAACTATATAAAATATTGAAACTTTAAAATGCTCACAACTCACTTTAAAATTATAATATTAATAAAAGCCTATGTAATTGCCTAGATAAAATTCTTATATTTAAATTTGATAATGAGTTAATTAAATTTACTCTTAAGTTAAAGCTGACAACGTAAAATGGATTCTGTTCGACGAAAATTTGCTAGGTATGATGTATGTAACACAGAGACAACACATGCGGGTGCGCGTTCTCTTAATAGGGAACATTAGACGTTGACAGAAATCTTAATAATTATCTGTCAATAAAAATAAAGCTTAAATGTTTAAAACTATAAATTTTTAAATAATAATATTAAATACTATATTTTGATTATCAGTTATCACTTATCAGTCATCATATCGGAGCAGCTCCGGGGGAAATAAAAAATATTAGAATTTAGAAAGTAGAAAATTTAAGAAAGTTATCGTATTTTCTTGATAACTATTGTATGAATGGTAACGCTGAGACAGACACATAATAATAAGAAAAAAAAAGTTGCTTCCTTTTCAGAATTACATGTTGTCACACGAGTACCAACTTCTATTATAAATATTCATGGTATAAAAAATGAAACTATTGATTGGTTTTTACTTTCTAAATTATATCAAAAAACAAAACAGTATGGGTATTGTAGTAAAATATAAATTATTAACAACAATAACAACTAACAAGTATTAATCAAATATAAATTTTAAAATTAGTAATACATGATAAAGACATTTTATAATTTTACTTCAAAATAATATCTGAACTCTTAAAGATTTTAATTAAAAATATTTTAGATTCAGTATCAATAAATTCAAAATTAATGATTGTTTTAAATATAATATAGATTATATAGATCTAGCCAATATAGGTGTAATATATTATTTTCATAAGATGTTGTATTCATATAAAGTAGGTACTTTAAAAATATGCTTAAAATATAATGAAAAAATACTAAACCGCCGAGAGCAATAATTTATTAAAAATATAACTCTGACCCTTAATTATTAAAAAATGAACATTACAAGGTTTATATTACATAATTTCATAAACAAATCGTATACGTTTAGGTAATAGCCTGAATTGAAACTATATACATAAAATATATTGATGTTTAAAAATTACCTGATAGTCATTTAACTCTTCAGCGGAAAATTGACTAGATTTTTGGCCCATTTGTTTTTAGAGTTAATAACTTTACTAAACTATTATATAATCCATTGAATTAATTAGATACGAATAAAACTAGTAGTTTTAATGATTCATTAAATGTATAATATCTCCAAAAATATTATATTTAGCAGAATGATTATTTCAAACTTTCGTATACTAATATTACTATTTAGTATTTATCACAGACTTGTATTGTACGTCATTTATATATATAATATATATATATTAAACTAGGTCCCTGTTATTTGTATTTATAATGATAAGTCGAGGGTGTTACCATGACCAAATACCGGTAAGTATGAATGGTAATAAACTATCGATGTTTTGGATAAATCGATATTAGACATCGATGTGGAACTTTCACCGATGTTTTGATTTCAATGTTTACTAGGCTAATGGCTTAGTTGTTAATAATTAAAAATATTTTTATTATTTACTATTTAGTATTTTTTACATGCATTGCAATTTTTCAATTATAAATCTGACACAATATAATTACAAATTACAAGATTGAAGATAGTTTATATATAGACGTTAGACGAAAGTCGTACATCAATATATTTAAATTTGCATTTATTGAATAAAATGTATTAATTCAAACACTGCTCTTTTTAAGTTAAACTCGCATTCATATAAACTACATTAATTATAGCAGCCAAAGGTTTATATTAATTTTATACTATTTATTGGTTTATTGATCAATATTATCGAGAGTTCCTAATAGCTATTTAGCATTATTAATATTTGTGGATTAATAAAATTATCATTATTATTATAATTATTGGCTGTTATTTGATTATTATTTTTATGCTTAATAAATTAAGGAATACAGTTCACATTCAGTAACCTTATCCAACTAATATAACCTAATTTAACTAGTCTTCCTTTTTGCCATTCATAATCATTTATATCCAATAACTGACCAGATTTACTTTTGTCTTATTGTACATAATATGTATAGACTGTAAATATTTAATAAACACTCTTTTATACATATACATGTAAAAAGGACAATGGAATTCGTAGAACTTTTACAACACTGAAAAAGTTAAAGTTTTGAAGTTAAGTCATGTATGTACAAGCAAAAGTTTAAACCTAAACCAATGACGCTTAACACTTTAATTTTGTTTTAAAATGTTTAAATAGATGTAATACTTTATTTTAACTAAATGCATTAATAATAAAATAAAATGGAGTCTTAAATTAACTTTTTACATTTTGAAGATTGAAAAATTTAAAAATAGAGCCATCACTATTCATAATTATAGAAGTATTTAAAAAAAAAATCTTTATAAAATTAGGTCACAAATTGAAAGTTAAGACTAACTTGTAACATTTATAAGGAAATTTATTTGATTATTAAAATCTATTTTATTTGTATAATTTAGTAATAATTCTATGAATTGACAAAATTATTAGTCAAATTATTTATAAGAACTGTATATATAAATATAGGAAAAACATTATGACAAAATAATATTATTCAGTACTCAATGAAATCTTTATCAATATTTGTGTTTGTGCTTTCGTGATGTGTGTGACATAGATGTTGGAGGTGTATGTACATGATGTCGATGAGGTGAACGTGAATGTGATCTTTTGTGTCGATAGTTATGCCTTTCATCACGTTCTCGATCTCTTCTTCTTGACAATGAACGAGGAGAATCAATTGGTGATATTCTTGATTTTTTATTATTACGCTGAGGTGAATTTGGTCTTTTTCTTGAAGGAGGACTTAAACTATCACTTCTAAAATAACATATGATGTAATTAAAGTATAGAATATACAATTAATTAACATTTACCTTATACTATGAGATGACCATTTACTATATGCTGGACTATTGGAAGGACTTCTAGATCGTTTCTTTTTCTTACTATCACGATAGTCATCATCAGGACTTAATCTTTTACTAATTTTATCTTTATCTTTTTTATCTTTTTCCAATTTCAATTCCTTTTCCTATTACAAAAAAAAATTATCAATCCAATTACATTCTGACAACATAATATTATAAAATATTGGGAAGTATTCCATTCAGTGTCCAAAGTAAAATATAAATAATATACATTTATTTTACTTTATAAAAAAATGTATCACAATTTTTAAGCAAAACCTTGTATCCTTCTCTAACCATGCAGTTTTAATATATGCCAGTAAAACAGTAAGGATATACCTATAGTATGACTTAATTACCATTAGTAAATAACTAAGAAGTAAATTATAAAAATATAGTAACTACAATTATTTATTAGTAAACTTTAATCAGAATACAAAACATAAACTTATAATCATATTAAATGTTGAAATTAAAAAAAATTAACAAAAATCAATCAACTTACCGGGGATTTTTGAACTTTTTTAAGTAGTTTACGTCTATAATGTTCCACTTGTTGATAAATATTCCATCCACCTTTTAATGCTCTTTTGCCAGATTCTAATTCATCTTGATATTGCATGACTTTTACTTCTACTTCTCTTAATTTAGCTCTTCGATCATCAGTATTTTCTCTAAAAATCAATTGAAAAATTGATAGTTTTTCGACTTGCTTTTTAAAAGAATTAAAATTTGACCATGTACCAATGAAAATTAAAATATATTTGAACTAAATGTTTCCAATATTTTTATTGGCACAGCTCACTTTTGAAAAACATGAAATCTTTGATAACATTATTAAAATTAAGCTGTTGTTTTCTTTTGCTCTTTAATTACTAGTTTGTGAGTAATTAAAATTAAATAATCAATATTTTAGTATATGATACAATGTAATTAGTTTTATAAAAGTATGTTAAAAAAAAAAAATAAAGATTTATTATCTATTTATTTAAAAGTGAAGATGTGCTAATTTTTAATAATTTTATAGTTATATTATAAAAGTATAGTTATTACCTACTCAAGCTTGCTTTTTGAGACATATTATCTTATATTTTCATGATTTAAATAATAATTAATAATAGTATAACATATAAATTATATACATATAAATATCTACTTATTATAATTATTATTAAATTCAAATTAATTTATCATTTTTTTAAAAAGTTTGTGTTCAAAATATAATGTTTACGATCCACTAAAACTATAATACTTGTTATATATCTAAAATTCAAGTTTATGAACCTGTGATTATTGCAACAAATAATACTAATGATTTTAAAATACCTCGTTTCATTAAGGTCATCATCTGGTGAATCTTGATCGATGGACTCACTATTATAATTTTTATTTTCTCTTTCTAACATCTCCCATTTGCTAGTAGTCATTGCTTGTTCTTCAGCTTCGTGGGGGTCTACAGTTTCCCATCTAGATGGAACAAATGCAGCTGCTTTGATATTTTTACCTACTGACTCTTCCGCTAATGGCACACCTTCAATATCATCCTCTAATACTATACAACATTGATAATTTTTATACAATGATGTTAATCATTTTTAAAATATAATAATGAAAACCTTATGTTGTTTTGTTTTTTGTGTAATATATACAATTCAATTGACAAGTATTTTTAATTTTTTGTTTTTTGATTAAAAACTACATTAAATTTAAATATAATAGACAACTTACATGGTATACCATCAATATCTGTATCACCAGGAGGTGTGTCATCATATGCATGTTTCAACAATGTAGCACCATCTAAAGGTATACCATCTAAATCCTCATTATCTAGATTTTCAGTGTCAGATAAAGGTGCTCCATCAATATTTTCAGATTCATCGATAGATTTTGAATTTGTATTATATTGCGATTCTTCACGAGAATTAATCAATTCTTGAGGTATCTAGAAATTTAAAATAATAGTAAAATATGAACACAACTTACATAAACAAAGACTTACCTCATTTATCGACAGCCCAAGAAAAGTATTTTGACATTTAAACAAAAATTCTTTTGGATAAATATCCCAGTCTTCCCATGCACGAAAAATTTGCATGACACGGTGTTTAAAACCATCAGCTTGACTTTGAGAATCTAAACTCTTATAAGTTTTAAGTGCTTCTTCCATTATGGGAATCAATCTTGTTTCAAATCTATTGTAAAAGTATTAAGTAAAGCATTTTAAATACTTTGAGATATTTACAATAAAAAAAAAAGTATACCCTTTTCTAAATTGTGTTGCATTTATAACTTTTAAACTACAATTATGTAGAACATCTGATATCAAATAAAGCCGTGCAATCTAGATTAAAAATATATATAAATATTTATTAATTTAAATATTTTTATAGCATAGTTTGATTATTTTATATTTTCACTTTTTTATGTAGTGCAGTTGTAGCATTAGATAATGATTCTTGAATGCAATCACAAATTTCTTCTACTGCATCACTGTGTTCTACACAAAATACCATGACTTCAGCTACTTTTAACCGCTCAGGTGTCATATTTCTTATAAGTTCTTCAAATCTTTCTCTTTGTGATACACTTAAAGTTCCTTTAGTCCTTGTTACTAAATCTTCTTCAGGAACAAGTTCTTCTGGCATACCAACAGTATATGGATTCATTGGTGGTGGTCTCCAAATTGATCCATTCTTAAACATACGGAATTCATCAGTGCGCCACTCTTTAGTAGAATCACCTTGTAACATAGAAAATAGCTTCCATCTATAGTATATATGAGTTGGTGAACAATTGTCAAACAAAAATCTGAAAATAATAAAATCAAGTAATAATATATAATAATTATAGTATATAAAATTATCTTCATAAAGTAAAGAATCTAATTAAGATACTCACTGAAACATAGGATTATTCAACTCTTTATTCATTATCATAGCTTCAAATAATGGACCTTCCCGTATAACAAATTCAATCATGTGATGTATAAGCATAAGCAAATTTCTAAAAAAAAATGTTTAAAGTAATAATATAAAAAATACATTTTTAGTTTATAATTTTATGTTTTTTTAGTTTTTCATTTTGCTTCAACAGCCTGACATCGATAATAAAGGGAACATCTTCTCATAATTTGTTAATTAATTTACATCAAAAAAATGAAAT